AGAACCCAAACCTAAAATAAAGATTATTAAATAATCTTTATTTTAAATTATAAAAAAAAAATTTATATTACTTATAAGAAAAATATAATTCTTATATCGATATGTCGTACTCCGGAAAAATTCTTTGAAATTCATATTTATAGGATAAATATCTTTTCTTTAATGGCAAATATGGAATGTGACGTCAAAAAACATGCTTAAAGTTCGATCTTAAACACGTTTAAAAAATTATAAACATGCATAACCGAAATTGTGATTCTAAAAAAGTTTCACAAAAGAAATCAAATCATCTCTTCGATATCAAAAGAATATAGATAACAATTACTTAAATCCTTTATTCAAATTACTAAAGAATGACTATTTGCCTCAATAAAATTATTGTTTGAAGTTTTGGGACTGAATAATGGAACGCATAATTACAAATTATTTGTGTTCCTACCGCTACATAATTTAAATTTAAACCGATGTGTAGAAGGGAATAACCTTCTTTTATCCAAAAAGGAAGATTAGAATGTGAATTTGATCAGGAGATCATCGAATATTCTTTTATGTGGGTCCTTACTTTCAAGAGTAGTACAATCTCCTAATGGAAATAGCCAATCAGAGTGTAAATTTTGGTAAACATAATCATGAGCATTTTAAACCTTGAGGCGTTAATTAAAAACGATAGGAACAAGTTTTACTATAATAAGAGATAATTTATTTTATACCCCTAACGCTAAAGTTTTAACTCAAATTTTTCTATTTTTACGTACTTTATTTTATATTAAATTTCCTTTTTTTTTATTTTTATTTTTTTTTGAATGTTAATGGTGTGAGACCATAAATTCCTTTTTTTAGAGATTTGCTCGAACAATACTACAATATGTATACGTGTTACACGAATCACACGTGGCAATTGTCGGCCGATAACGAATGCAAAAATTCTCTTTCTTGACATTAAAGAACAAATGACTTTATGAAGTCGTAATATGACGTGTATCATTTCACAGCAGTAGCATCTGCGCATTTAATTTATGTTTCTAATTCTCGCTTCTTTAATGAATATGGAATAGCGTGCATTATTTGCAAATGCAAACGTGCAATTGCATTACATGGTTCAATTTAATTATTCCATTTCGATGAGATTAGTTTTTAATTGTCTATTCGGTTTTATAAGGAAAATAAACAACCCTGACGCAGTCCTCAACTATAACAATATTAATACCCGAATATATGAAATTATAATTCGATAAAATATAAATACTTGAGAAGATTCACTTCCTTTCATTTGGAGATTTGTTATCTTCAACATATAAACTTTATCGAAGACATTCATTTATCATGAATAATTCCCAAATGAATATGAAATATCAAATTTATAGATTCCATTCATCTGCTGGACTTTCTAAATTTCATAGCGATAATGCATCTGCTTTGCCAACCTTGCCACAAATCACTCTGCCTTTCCCTCCGGTGATTCGTGCAATTGATATTGCAAAAAAAAGAATTCGCTCCAAGATCTGCAAAAAAAGCCCAAATGCATTTTTTGTTTATCGTAAAGCTTTCGTGGACCATCTTTCGACTTTACAACATAAACTGAAAATGACTGAAGTTTCTAGGTTGGTCAGTTCTCACTGGAAAAATGAAAAGCCTGAAGTTAAGCTAGCATATGAAAACATCGCCAAGGAAGTCGAAAAAGAATTAAATGACATTAGGATCAAAGACTTGGTTTATGCTGATATTCACGAAAAATGTAGAAGAAAAAGAAGAAAAAATATTGAAAAGCGTGCTCGTAGATCGGCGGCTTCTCTTGATTCCTTTGATGCATGTAAAAATTTTGTGTCAACTATTGATTTTTCTATTAAGGATCCACCTGTTGAGTCAAATAATGCTCTATCCTCCTGTCCATTCACTGATAAAGCACTTCCGGATTCTTACTCAGCATTAAATAATACTAATGCATTCGATGACATTACTCAGTTTTACGATGATAATGTTTTTAATTACATTATTACCGAGCCTAATAATCCTATTTGTGAAAGCAATGTCGAATCAAATTTCGTTTATGACACTAGTATGAATGCTAATATTTCCGCTACATCACAAATTGATTCGTTCACATTTCTTGTACCTGAGCATCACTCAGACATCGCTTCACCATATGATTCTGCATCTGCAAGTCCAACAATCTCTGAATATTCCGATTTTTTTCCTCAATTAACCGAAGATTTTCAACCGTGCGAATTTTATCTTGAGAATGCGTCGCAAGCCATTATTTGTTTAGACAATAGTATAATTGGAGGAATTCCTGATTGTCTCTCATAATTGCGAATTGAAAATTTACTTTCATTAGACATTCGTTTCTCGTATATTAAATATTCGTTACTCGTAGATTAAACATTCGTTTCTCATATATTACGATTACGTTTAAAAGCCGAACGTCAATTTTAAACCCAAAAATTACGTTATTTTTTTTTTTTTAAGATCAATAATTATGAAAAAACTTCCAAGTTTATGCTATTATATAGTTCTCGTAGGTTGTTCAATACAGTAGCGGTGGGAATAAGACAAGACAATTCAAGTTTATGCTATTAAGTAGTAAAATATATGTACATAAATATGTGTTTCATAGGCGTGGTACGATACTTTCAAACTAAAAAAAATCAAAAAATATGTATATTTTAAAGTTTTTACTAGAAACAATTTCTAAGTTTCAAAATAAAAATATAGACGTAAACATTTTTATTAAGATGCACCTACGTTGTTTGCACTTACATGTATATATACATTACCTCAAATACTGGTTAATTATGGTGCTCTAAGTAAAGATGTTCTATACCCTCAAAAAACTTTAAATATAACTTTAAATACTAGTTCTTATATAAAAAATGTCGAATTAAAAATTGAAAATAGTATTTTCACATTCCTTTTTAATAATGCTATATTTCCGTAATGTAAATTATTAATGCTGTAATAAAATTTTCTTAATTTCTTTTAACTTAATCTAGAATATCGTGATACTTATGTCGCATCTGAAGTTGCCACCTATCTGAAGTTGCAACTTCAGATATCTAAAGTTGCACTATCTGAAGTTGCAACCTCAGATATCTAAAGTTGCACTATTCAAAGTTGCAACTTTAGTTGTAAACTATCTAAAGTTGCAACTTTAGTTGTAACTTCAAGTCAAAAAAATCTAAAATTGTTACTTTAAATATTTGAAGTTGCTACTTAAAATATCTTTTTTTCTATAGGCAATCCTTTTTACTTTTATTTGAAGTTGCTACTTAAAATATCTTTTTTTCTATAGGCAATCCTGTTTACTTTTATTTGAAGAAAAACAAAAATACTATATAGGCATGTACTAAGTATAGTTTATACTATATATCTCAACCAAAAGTAAAGCTTATCCAGTTTTACATCGCAGTTGCCGAGGCTTCCACTTGCAATCAGAGCGAACTATTAAATTGCTGTGTTGTATCTAAATGCAATTTTCCAAAGCAACACTTGACCTTTTTCAAAGGTCCAAACTTACTAAGGACTTATATTTCTCAGAAATAAAAGTTGGCATATTACTAGCCTCATCAAGATTTTTACCTTAAAGTTGTATTAGAAACTATAAATTTAAAATTATTATTATTATTTTTTTTAATCTTCAAAGATGAGGCTATGCTTTTATCTTTATTAAAATCTAATTAAACTTCTTTACAAATAATTAAATAAAGAAATTATATTATTTGAACTTTATATC